CAGTTGATCATGTCCTGTTTCTTAAAATATTTTCTTCATTTGGTTTCTAAGATATCCTTTTTTACATTTCCTTTAATGGTTGCTTTCTCTTAAGTCTTTGATCAATTTTCTTCCTCTTCCTGACCTCTAAATGCTAGAATGTCTTAGGGCTCAGTCTTTAGTTTTCTTCTTGACTGAAGTTACCATAAATAATCTTATCCAGTTCCATGGCTTCAAATGCTACCTGCGGATTACTCCTAAATTACATCCTTTGCTTTGATCTACTAGGCTCTGAATTAATCTATGCAATTAATCATGTAATAACTGTACTTAGATGTCTGATGGACATCTCAAAATCAAAATCATGTCTAAAACAGAATTCTTGATTCCCCCATGAGGATAAATTGGCTATTGATGTCTTATACCTACTATGTGATTTTAAGTTTTCAATGTACTTTTCATACATTTAAAAATATTATCTTTATAGAAATGCTCTTAGGATAGCACATGTCAATTCCATCAGTCAGACAGACATACTATGACTCAGATCTGCTGGGTAAGTTTTTAAAGAGTCCATATTTAATATATAACTCAGAGTAAGCAATACACTTCAAGTCTCCTTATTCCCTCTATATGCTCTCTACTAGGTTATGATGCCTATCAAGTCATACTCAATTCTTTAGAAACAGTGATTTAAAAGATGAGCTTCCAATTAACAGGCAATGGAACATACAAATAGTGTGACAGAAGAGAGATATAACTTAGTCACTATGTGTGTTGGTCAACATACCTTTATAAAAGGTTTCTCCTTTGCCAATTATTATTTACATATAATTACTGTGATATCATCCAGAATCATTTCACTATTCTTTAGGAAGACCCCGTTTTGCTGAGTTTCTACTCTTCAGAAGGGAGGTAAGTTGTCTTGTCTGATCTTTAAATCCATGATGGTACAATAATATTTATTTTTACAAAAGTAAATACCATCTCAAAAAATTGAAATCATTAGGATATATCATTCATGACATAATGACTCTTTACCTTAATTACATATAGATCTTCACACAGAGACCAGGAAAATAAAGAGAATACTAAACAAATCTTTGAAAATACAAACATACTAGTGGAAAACACACAAAGAATTTATTTGTTTCAGGCAAGTTACTCAATACATCTTATATATTTATGTCTGAAGAAAGAAGCTATTATAAGATACAGCATTATAAAACTAGTTCATTGCTGTAGATAATTACTTTTGATAATTTAATATCTAAGCTACTAGAACATATGCTCAAATACTGAAATTTGAAGATTTGTTTCACATACTTTTGGAGCTTATGATTCCATTTTTTTCTTAAGAAAATAAAGCATAATTAAAATCTTATTTTAAACACATATACATATGCACACAAATACAGAACTTAGAAATCCATTGAAAGTTTGAAGTCCAGTAATTTTTGGCTATGCTACAGTTAAACTTGGGCTTTAAAATGAGAGATAATCTGAATTCTATTGTCAGCAGGTCAAATCTATTAGGTGAGTAGGTATGAATAACTGCAAATTTTAAGAACTATTAAAAATGTACCCATTATAATGTCACCAAATGTAATGAAGACAATGACAAAGAGACTTTGTCATTTGCTATGTAATAGATAGGAAGAACTTTATGATATAACAAAAAACAAGACTACATTTCTTAAATCTGCCAACATGTCAATGTTTTTGAGATAAAAACCTATAACTACTCATACATGAAAACCAAATCGGAGTTGTTACAGAATCTCAATGTATGGTCAATAGATCTATAATTTTGTAATACAAATACTATCAAAGAAAGATATATGGGATAGTTATGCCAGAAATGTAAAGACATGAAATTGGTCATTTAGAAATACTGACCCTTCTGTTTTTGAAATATTCTACATCTCAACTTCTGTGATACTATCCTCTCATAATTTTGGTCTTTTCTTTGTGATTGTTCCTTCTTCTTCTTCTTGGACTTTTCCTCCGCACAATTCTAAAATGCTAATCCTCCACAGGGCATTGTCTTGGCCTACTGCTATTTTATCTGTATCATTCTTCTTGGGCAATTTCAGCCACGTTCATGAATTTAAGTAACTCTCATATTTATGTCCCTGGTCCTGACACAAGCTTCAAAAGTGTTTATTTAAATGTTCTAGACATTTCCACTTGGAAATTTTCACAGATATCACAAATTCAAAATTTCCTAAATCAAAGATTCATTCTCTTCCTCTTTCCCCAACATCTCTCTCTCTCTCTCTTTTTTTTTTTTGTTTGTGGGGGAGTGCAGGACAGAGTCTCCCTCTGTTACCCATGCCGGAGGGCAGCAGCCAATCTTGGCTCACTGTAACCTCTGCCTCCCGGGTTGAAGCAATTCTCATGCCTCAGCCTCCAGTGTAGCTGGGACTACAGGCATGAGTCATCACGAAGGGCTAACTTTTATATTTTTGTAGAGATGGGGTTTTGCCATGTTGCCCAGGCTGGTCTCGAATTCCTGACCTCAAGTGATCTGCCTGCCTTGGCCTCCCAAAGTGCTGTGATTACAGGCATCAGTCACCATGCCCCAACCACTCCTCTTATATTTCCAATATCCATTAATGGCACTACCACCCACTCAGTGATGCAAGTCAGAAATATGGGAGTCATCTTAGAATTTTCTCTCCTTCACCTCCTCATATCCAATTAGTCACTTAATCAGGTAACTGACTACTAATTTTGCTCTTTAAAAATTCCCTAAATCTATCATCCCCTCTCTATCTTTATTACAACTGGCTGAGTTCAGGAGCTTATCTTTTGTCTGAATTATTGTACTTCTCCATTAATTCACCCTTAAATGCTCTTTTCCAGATGTGGACTTAAGTTTACCTCTTTATTGTAGCCCCAATGGAATATAAGCTCCAAGAGAAGAAGGATTTCTGTCTCTGTTTTCTTTAGGATAGTCCCTGGCAAATGATAGGTATGCAAAAATTATTTGTTACATAAACAAATGGCAGCCTGAATGGGCTAAAAACTATACATAAAGTACATACAAATACGACCATATCAATCCTCTACTGAGAACCTTTTAAAACTTCCTATCATCTATAACTATGATCTGAGATGCTCTATGACCTGGTCTCTATTTATCTACTAGCCTCATCTCTAGCTATTCAGTCTAATATTTTATGTTGAAATTATGTAACTGCTTATCATTCCTGCACATATCATGGATCTATGCCTTGTTTCTTATGGTTTCTATCTAGAACAGCTTTCTAATTGTCTTTTACCTGGTTAGCAGCCACTCGAGTCACTGAGATGATACCTCTGATTAGGTATCATCTCCAGGAATTCATTCCTGGAATTCCAGGTTGAGTCAAGTGGCCTTCCTCTGAGCATCCAGTGTACCTTCTATGTAATTCTAGATTCACCACTGGTGTATGATCTTGAAGCAATCTGTTTAAGTATCTGTCCTCTATTAGACTGTAAGCAACTTGGGTTATAAATGATTTCCTATTCATCTTTTTTCTTCATGTGTCTGGCACACGGTAAGTGGGCAATATTTATACATAACAACCCTGAATGAATGGAATTAATTATTTCGTTTCATATATTTTCTAAATTGTAGTCTTATTAACATCCATTTGAGGTTCCTAATTTAAAAAATATTAGTAGACTTTATTTTTTAGAGAAATTTTAGATTGACAGATGTTTGTAAGTTTTAAAGAAAAAAATGCAATGAACTTCTATTAGAGAAGTATAAAAAAATCTCAATTTCAAAAGGCCAACATATATCATATTAGCACAACATAGTTAATTATGTATAAATATTAACAATTTTAAGTCATTAAAGTATGATCTATATGTCCACTGTCCATAAATTAAACTTCTATTTATACATTAAAATGCAAAATAGTATTTTAAAACAACAAATAAAAAATCCAAAACAAAAATCACTTTAAATATCTTTAGTTACAACCAGAATATAAAAAATACCACCAAATAATTATTTCAACATAATATTGTTAAATAAGACTAAATTCCCAGAATTACAATTAGTTTGTAAAAATCAAGATTAGCCGGGTCCAAGAATTAAAGTAACCTTAAATTATTTTGTGCTGTAGATTTATATCTGACTTCTATGTACAAGAGTCCTAGTAGTCAAGCATAAATTAGATTTAATCCAGCTGCCTATAATTTATTTTGCAATAAAAGAAACACCATATTACATGCATTTGTTTGTTAAGTAGAAGATATGCTATTATTTCCAAGATACCAAGGATTTAATGTTTAATTATCAACACCCATTTGAAAAAAAGACATCACTCTGATTCACAAATTTCTTAATTGCTAACAGTGGCTTTTCTGAGTAGGAGTGTTGTCTATAATTTGTTTTTGCAGATGTGATTTAGCAACTGAATTTTAAAGTAGCAAAGCTTTGAATATCTTCACCGTCAGCAGAAAATTCCTCCATCCCTGCTGCTGGAGAATATTGCTGTTTGAAGTTTTAACAGGGAAATAAAAATTGCAGTGAGAAAATTGACATTACTGGCAAATGTTGCTTACAAACTGAAAAGGAAGTTGGGTTGTCAGCAATACAAGAACTGTATTATTCACACAAAATATAAGGAGTCATCTTCACAGTATCTTGCTGGGAATGGAAATTAATTTAGCTGGTTCCAACTTGAGGAACCTAAAGAAAAGCAAATATCCCCCATTTCAGATTATCTTTACAAAGGATCAGCAACTGGAAATTGGGTGTCACAGCATAACTCTTCCCTGAGGAGGAAAGACATTATCTACATTTTAAGAACACTAGCCAAGGTTCATTTTGAAGCAGGTTCATTGATCACTGGAAAAAACATCATTGTTGATCTCAGAAAGGTTAACTAGTTTAAAATACCCTTTCCCTCTGGAACATGTCATCATCCACATATTACTGCAATAAAATGAGTAGGAGAAAAGAAATATATCTTGTAATGACAACTCAAATATGAAGTTAAAAGTAACATTAAAATTCCTACCCGTTTGGCTGAGCTGAGAAGCACTGCGACTTTTCCGTGACAGACCAACAATAGCTACCATTTTGGCACCAATGCTAGAGCGCCGCTTTTTGCCACTGGTGCCCAAGGCGCCCACTGCAGTGTCAGACTGGCTGCCATCATTCTTCTCCAGTGAGCACATGTCTCCACTGATGCTGGTGCTTTTTGTCATGTTCTTCCCTGATATGCCCATTTGTCTGCTTTGCATTTTGGATGTAAAGACACTGTCAGCCGATGGATCATTAAAAGTGAGGACAAGAGTAAAAAGGAAAAGACAGAAAATGCATTTTAGATAAAACATTTGGAGTATAATTAAATTATATCATCTAATGGAATATATTTTTAGGATTTAAAAAATTTCAAGTACCATGGTCTTGATTTTGTGCTTTGCTACTCTGGGCCAACCTTACAGCAAATATGCAAAATCAGATTTATGATTTTATTTCTACTGTCAAAGACAAGGTGCAAGTTTGCATAATCACAGGAAAAAAATTCATGAAAAATCAGTGGGTTCATTTAAGACACTATGCTGTCCTGCAAGTGGAAGTATGCCTTTAGGTAGGCATACAACATAAGGCAGAAGTTTACAGAAACATTCTTCTGTACTTTACTGTTGCTTTCAAAAAGAAATTAGACAAGTGAGAAAATTTTACCAAAAAAAAAAAAAAAAAATGGAGATTGTGCCATTGCCCTCCAGCCTGGGCGACAGAGCAAGACCTCGTCTCAAAAAAAAAAAAAAAAAAAAAAAAAAGGCCAATAATATAGTATCCATTTCAAGAGTGGCCCTGTAACTTTTCTCATAATAAAGTTTATCTACTAATGGTTAAATTTTCTAAAAAGACTTGCTATTTTTCATTAGCTTTGAATTAAAAAATACTTTATTTTACTTTACTTAATTTCATCATTACTGATATAAATCTATATTACAAAAATAAAGAAAAGAAAGATTTCCTTCTTGCATTCTTTTGAAAGAAAGAAAAATCATTATCAGTTTTCCAGACAGTGCACCAGAAAGCAATCAATGAATCACTGAGGCATGTGAGCTGATTAATAATCTACTGCAAGACTAATACTGCAACTGGGAGTAATTAAAGAAATGACTTTGGATTTTTCCACGATTTCTGGGGTATGGTAGAGGTAGATTAGAAAGTGAAGAATCTGGAAGCAGGCTATCTAGCTAGTCCCCATAAACCTAGGAGGAATATGAGGGAAGCAGTCTGTTTTGCAGGAATGAAAAGACTTATTTACACATCAATTTTTGACTCAGTATTGGGGAAAGTTTTATTTTGGTTCTGATAATGAATGTTTAATATATAAAGTAATAAAAAAGAATAAGAATCAAGAAACAGAAATATCTTTAAACATTACATAAAAGATGAGAATTAGAAAACTAACCTATTGAGGTGAACTCTTATATCTAATTCAATATCTTGGTCTTCCAAAAAAACAAAGTGTTTTCTATCCTGGAGTAAAATCTGGTTAAAGGCTAGGACCACATACTACTTTTGTTAACCTATGTAATATCTTCTCCAAGTATTTAAGAGGGAAAAGACCCAGTGTGAAATTAAAAAAAATATATAGTGAAGTATACTATTATATCCCTCACATTCGTCTTAAGAAAAAATGTGGCATACATAGTCAGAAACAGGACAGAGAGAGTCCGTGTGTGTGTGTGTGTGTGTGTGTGTGTGTGAGAGAGAGAGAGAGAAGGCACAGGCGGGTGAGGAGAGAGAGAAGAGAAGAGAAGAGAAAAGAGAAGAGAATATGTTTCTGTAATATCCTGAACTGATAATTTTCAACTTTGTTTGATTTTGATAGAAAGTAAAAAGACAAGGCTTATTATAGTTTAAAAGGGCCAAAGTTTAACAGAAACTAAGGCTTTATATTATAACCTATGTTCCATAGTTAGAATAAACTAGTGTTTCTGTTATATAGCAATTTTCGGGTGGGCACAGTAGCTCACGGCTGTAATCCTAGGCACTTAGGGAGGCTGAGGCAAGATGACTGCTTAAGCCCAGGAGTTTGATACCAGCCTGGGCAACATGTGAGACCCCATCTCTACAAAAAAGTAAAAAATTAGCCAGGCATGGTGGCACATGCCTGTAGTCCCAGCTACTTGGGAGGCACAGGTGGGAGGATCACCTGAGCCCGAGAGGTTGAGGTTGCAGTGAGCCGAGATGGTGCCACTGCACTCCAGCCTTTATGACAGACTGAGATCCTGTCTCAGAAAAAAGAAAAAGAAATTTTCACTGAAAACATATACTTTTCTAAAGAGCTACCTAATCTACTAATTACCAAGGATGTCAAAGATACACTCACAAAATTGTATCTTGTGATTTTTGCATTTGAATTTTTATGTTTGAATATCAAGGCCATAAAGAACTTGACCAAAATCAAATAAGATACTACAATAAAATACTAATTGGAACTGATACATCTTTTTGTAGACAATATTTTAATGAGAACTTGGTTTGAAACAAGTACACTTCTCTTTAACCTAACAACTTTAATAAAGCATTATTTACAAAAGGAGTTATTTATTTTTATTCATTTGTTTTTTAGAGACAGTGTTTTGCTCTGTCACCCAGACTAGGGTGCAGTGGTACAACCATAGCTCATCGTAACCTTGAACACCTGGGCTCAAGTGATTTTCCTGCTTTAGCTTCCTAAGTAGCTAGGACTACAGTGCATGCCAGCACACCCGGCTAATTTTTTGGGGGGCAGGGGCAGGGTAGACAGAGTCTCACTGTGTTGCCCGGGCTGGTCTCAACTCCTGGACTCAAGGGATCCTCTCTCCTGGGCCTCCTAAAGTCCTGGGATTACAGGCGTGAGCCACCGAGCCTGGCCCAAAAGGGGTTATTAAAAGTTTTATAAGATGGATACTCTTTTTATTTCCTTGAACTTAGAGATCACCAGGGATGAGTTTATGAATAGTGGCACTAGAGTGGTTTGTTTTGATGAGAGAAAGGTTGCGGCTAGGGTTCCTTTTCTTTCTTCACTGGACATCATCTAAAACTATAAGCAAAAAATGTAAAAAAACAAGCTACCATTTTTTTTTTTTTTTTTTGAGATAGAGTTTCGCTCTCGTTGCCCAGGCTGTAGTGCAATGGCACAATCTAGCTCACTGCAACCTCCACCTCCTGGGTTCAAGCGATTCTCCTGTCACAGCCTCACAAGTAGCTGGGATTGCAGGCATGCACCACCATGTCCAGCTATTTTTTTTTTTGTATTTTTAGTAGAGACGGGGTTTCTCCATGTTGGTCAGGTTGGTCTTGAACTCCCGACCTCCGGTGATCCTCCTGCCTTGGCCTCCCAAAGTGCTGGGATTACACACGTGAGCCACCGTGTCTGGTCACAAGCTACCAAAATTTTTAAAGTTTTGGGACTCTTGATTTATGAAATACTTTGTAGTAAAGAATTTGTAATTATGGGCAATATTTTAAAATGCTCAATTTGGTTAGGAAAAGACGTATTACATCAGCAATTGTTTTAAAACAGAAATTTCATAAGGGTTTGGAAATACAGTATATTTCAATACTTCTGGTGAGATCTCAGTGATAGATTTCTAAAGAGCAACTTGGCAATATATGTCAAAAGCCTTAAAAAAAACAAGCCTACCCTTTAACCTGGCAATTCTAGTTTACAATTTATCACAAGGGAAAACTTAGCAATGTGTACAGATTTAGCCCTAATGATATTTACTGCAAAATTGATTATAATAGCAAAAAAATAAAATAAAATAAAAACAAGGGGAGAAAACCCACAAATGTCCAACAATAGTGGGTGTTTAAATAAATTATGTTCATCAATAAAAGACAATGTACTTTTGAAAATGCTGTTATATATAAATGTTTATGGACATAAAAAGATATTCTTGATGGTGGGGGATGGGGAGGGAGAAGCAGATATTTGTAACTTAGCTTTGGGTGACATATGTATTAAATATGGATTCACCCTACTACGAGGGGACATAGGGAAATTCACATCCCAGAGTTTTTCCAGTGACAGAAATCCAAAAATAGTTTTATAAAAAAAGAAGAAATATTTTGTGCTAAACTAAGTAACTTGAGAAGCCTAGAATCATGAGATGATGTACCAGTCATCTGCACAAAAGGAGAATGAAGAGAGTATGACGAAAAATAAAATATTGTGTTCAGAAAAATTTTATTTTTAGGGGAAAAATATAAATGTATGTAGCCAAAAATATGAAATGTTATACTGTGACCAGTCTGCTAAAAGTCATTTTAATTTTTTCTGGTTGATAGCTATGTTTTAAAAAAAGTTTGTCTTTTTCTATTTTGTTTTTTCCAGAATAAACATAAAAAGTGTTGGTAATAAAAAAAAACTAAAACAGACAAATGAAAAAAGCAATCAAGGACCAACATCGCTTCTTCTTTTATGTAAGTCAAATTATTCAACCCACATTAGTTCATGTCACACGTTAAAGGTACAGTATGGATTTCTAGCTAATCCTAACAGATTACTACACAATATATTGAGTGTTGATATAGGGTGTTCAGTTCTAGAAAGGGACACTGTTTTTACATTTCTAAATATTGTTTTGTGCATATTTATAATTTTTGGCTTTAGAAAAACAATAAAAACTGTATATATTTAGTATTATCAAAGTTAAATATATAAAACTGCCAATATAAGAGACTGATTTATGGCAAAATTATAGTTGTTGAAAAGTTGTATCCTGAATGGTTAAAGAAAAAGGCAAATCTAGTATTGTCAATCATTAGGAGAAAAGTAACAAATAACTACAAAGCAGGTGAAATATGAGTATTCCCCAAATACATAAATAGCATATTAGGGATTATTGGAAGATGTGATTAAATTAAATGAAGTTTATATGCTATGGGGCCAAAAGTTTTCATTGATAGGTTTGAATGAATAGAGGTAAGTGGTTTGGCTTCAAGATAATAAATAGCAAAGATGAGACAAAGACAAATTCTGAGTCTTAAGAATGCATAGTCATGCCAAAACAAATATTTCATCATATTAGAGCTGAGAAGGTAGTCTGGAAATAGTTTACCAAGGAATGAAAGACTGGGGTGATTCTATGGAGGCCTAACAGCTAATACAATGGAGTATTAGGACTGTGGCACAGGGACAGAAAAGACATTGAAGGATAGAAAGTAGACAGAGATAGTTCCAGGAGTGAAACTATTTATAACACCTTTGGCAAGGAAGTGGTGATAGAGAGGGCTTGTAGTGTTCA